CACCTGTTACTACTAGCGTGGCACTTGTTCCTACTAGCAAAGGAATATGAAAAAACAGTTTCTCCCCGTAGAGGTCTGACTTCTCAGCGGAACAAAGGGTAGAGAAAATGCCACGAGACCGTCAAGACGCCGCTGTTCATCCGCTTCTCCCGCCCAGCTGTGGGTGGAAGAGGTTGCGCTGACCAACATGTTCCATGCGCAATGTCAGGGGCGTGTTTCACCTCATAAAACACTTGAGACTCCTTCAAATAATCACGGAAGTGGATGGCATTGCCCCTTCAATGACCATTTTCATCTACAAACAGATGGTTCTTGGAAGGAACATACATCATCAGGGTAGGTCCTTCCAGTCACTCGGTGCAGCCGCCGCACCCCTCTCGCCTGGGTCTGACTCGCTCGCTCGTGGTGTGGTGTTGGATCGTTTCATCCATCGAGCTTTGAGAAAAGGCTTTAAGTTCCGTTCCCAGGGTCGGACGGGCCTCGCGACAAGTCCGGAGCGTTCGGACGCGACGAGCTTAGCTACGAACGGAACAAGGTGAAGCTACGAACGGAGCGTTCGGACAGGGTCCAATCCGAACGTCCATCCATGTTCGGGGCCGAGCTCTCTTGCTTTCCTGTGATACACTGTCTTGGCAACCAGCACGGCTCGAGACATGCAGAAAACACCACAGTTAGAAAGGAACCCGCCAATTTGAAAGGACACTAATTTGACAGAACACCATGATAATCTACATAAACTTCTAGGGAACTAATCCGATTTTCCCGATTTGTTCCCTCCCTTCTGTATATTCATGAATTGTCCCTGATGTTCCTACTCGCATGGGAGCCGGACCTGGACACCAAAAACATCAAAAAAAGCACTCCCATCACCAGCCTTCAGTCAGAGCTCGGAAGCTCCATCTTCGTGTCATCTCTGCTCAGAGCATCAGGCAAATGGCTGAACAGTCTCCCAAGCCGCTTTGACTTTCAAAAGAACTCTTTTTCCCGCACCGGTATACCTGTTGGGTGTTTGGTGGGGTTTCCCAATCTCCCGCAAAGGGTTTTCTCTACGCAGGCGATCTTTGGATTTGTCCAGGAACGACCCCAATCACACCCCTAAGAACCCTTAAGCTCTCCATGGCAAGGGTTGGACCCTCCATAGGTGGTCTGGACTCGAACCAAAACCCTATGTGTTGCTGAGGGCCCGGATTCTTACCTGGAACTCCAAAACGATCCCCGTTTTTGGAGCGCCAATCAGTTTCCAGCTTCCAGGCTGGTAGGGACATCTTCACCAGAAGGGAAAAGAAGACATACAAGACGGGCGTCGCTACTAGTAGCACAGACGCGGCCAGGTGTTCCATGTCTGGACCACGTCTTGGTGTTCGCGCCTTCAGCTCCTTCAGCTCTGGAACGAAAAGAAAAGCCAACACAGAAAAGCTCGACTTGGGAGGGTCTACCGATTTACACCTCGGGAAAACATATCTGTTTCAATGGAACCATCTATCGAATCTATCAATACCCCAGCCAGACATATTGCTACCCCCATCTCCCAGACATATTGGCCAGTCACGTCACGTCAGATTGGCCAAGCATCTAAGAGCTTCAAGGCCAAAGCCCAGTCCGCCGCCGCCTCGCAAAGATCGATGAGCCTCAGTTCGGACCCCACGTCTCCACGCGTTCGTCGGTACCCAGAGACGGACGGACAGACATGGTTTTTCGATGTTTTTGTCGAAGGAAGAAAGAGGATTGATGCACTAGTGCCGCACTGGTCCAACCCATGTGCCAACATCGGCATTCGGAGCTTCGGAGTGCCCGCGCTGCGCAGTCGTAGGAGCATCCGACTGACTGAAGGCAGTCGAGTGAATGAATCCGAAAACCTCTTTCGGATTCATTCACTTGGCCTGGACAAACCATCCTTTTTGGTTCCACCTGTTCTATCTCTCTACCGGGGTCTTCCCGGATAGCCTGTGACGCTCTGGTCACATACCTGTTCGTCTCTTGTTCAGTGGGGTGACACTCACCGTTTCGTGATTGCGCTGCGCGGTCCGGAGCGTCGGGATGGACCGGCCCTGTGGGTTACCGTGAAAAGCGGCTCCAGGCAGTCACTAGACTTCATTCAGAAAGCGGTCTTCATCTCATTTCGAAACATATCATGATCCCCTCCATGTTTTGTATATCGAAAATCCACCAGTTTTCGAGTTTTACCGAATGCCATGACCTTATGATGACCTCAACTTATCCTCCACTATACTTATTACACAAGCAGGGCACTTTCCTTCCCATCTCCAGTATACCATGGCTTAATTTATGACCCCTCAAAATCCTGGTTCTGGTTCTTCATCCGGATTTCACTTGTGAACCCTTGGGCAGCGGCTTCTTCGGGTCGGGCAGCGTGTTCAAGGTGATCAGGCTGGGCGCCTGCTGTGCATCCTCCATGCTCCGCAGCAGCGAATGCCGGACCTGCAACTGGCCACCTTTGTCACAGGCACTGAGCATGATATTGCAGCTCACCTTGGTTTTCGCGTGTTTTCGCACGAAAACCAAGGGTCTCTCCAGGGATCCTCTCTTAAACCAAAAAAACAATCATAGGGTGCGTGCGCGACCCAACCAAAATTTGTCCACTTAGAACGAGTTGCAGTATAAGATTCCCAAACCTTCCTCCTCCATTTCTGGAATCATCTCTCGGGCACTTGCACAAGTCAAGTCCGAAGCGAGTGACTTCCTCCAGTTTTTCCGCGAACATTTCCAAGAACTTCATAGACCCTACCCTTCCAAGGCCTTATATTAACGGCTTTTGTTTCAAATGCTGTTGGAGGAGTAGGGTAGAAACACATGAAGCGAGTCACGGTGTTCGGCCTCAAATCGTCCCTGTTGTCCAGGTCCAGGAGGTGCAGCGCCATGGCCCAGGCATGCGCGGAAACACAGGCGTTGGCCGCTGCGTTCAGCGTGAAGAGACCAAGTTCAAGGCCTCCAATGCCGCACTCTGCCCAGTCATGGACCAGTCGGAGTTGTGGGACACCATTGTCCCGGTGTCCCTATGTCCAGAGTGTTGAAAGGAAGTGCTGAGCATGGAGGATAGGGCTGCTCACGAGGTTTTGATTGGGACACCATTGGTCTCGCTCAGTTGCAGCCAGCGGAGTATTTGAATGAGTCAGAGTCCAGGGTCAAAGACCGATGAACATGTCTGACAAGGGATCCACATGGTGGTTGATCAAAATTCCTTCTTGCTGGCAGGTCATTCTTCGTGAACAAGACATTAATATTCGCGAATCTTTCGCGAACTCCATGTTTAACTTTCGCGGGGGTATACCCTCTAGAAATCATGGTCTAGTGGTTCTACATTCTACATAGCAGCCTAAGCACTTCCATCAAGCACCATTTTGGATCTGCAGACGAGGTTGAGGTGTTACAAGGCAGATTGGTGTTACAAGCCATGTCATGGCTTCTCAGCAGGTGTTTGGACCCTTGAAGCCTTTGGCCTCCGCTCGCCTACACAAGATCGGCTCGGTGTCTCCAAAAAGCCTCTCAGAGGTTGAAGTGGATACAAAAGGATGCTGACTTATCGCTTGGAATCGAACAATCAATGTGAATGGGCTGAATCCCTTGCAATCGAGGTGTTTTACGATGGATGTTAGACTATAGGTCAACCAATCAAAAGGAATACCAAAATTAGGGTTATGGTGCATCGCGATCGACTCCAAACTCGATACCCTCTGCCGGAATCAATCAGGCATCTTGAAGAGCAAGCTGAACTAGCCACGTGTGACATGATGATCAATGAGTTGCTCAAGAGCAGGGTGCCAAGCACTTCTGCACTCCTTCCGGTCCTGCTTGTAGCCTCCAAGCACCGCTGAGGCTGTGAAGATCCATGGAAGTAGGAACTTGAGCCAGCATCACGTGGACCTTCATGAAACCACTTGCGCGTGTTGTCAGAGTTCTTGGTGTCCCAGAACCAGAAGAACCAGGATCACGACCCATGTGCGTGCGCTGTGCGTGCGCTGTTGCGTGCGCTGTTGCGTGCCCTGTTGCGTGCGCTGTTGCGTGCGCTGTTGCTCTGGAAAGCCGTAGTAGGAACTCGTGACGATGTGACGATGTCCACCTGCTTCAGCTTCACGCGCGATGCGCGCACGTGGACGGTTTCCGGCCACATGCGACAACATCCACCCCATGCGCCCCATGACATCGGTACGCACGTGTTCCTCCTCTGTCGGGTCCAGGCCCGTGAGGATGCAAGGGTACGACATCAAACCACATCAAACCCGAAGAACCAGCAGTTTTCAACGGGGTGCTGTTTAGTCCCCAAGTGAGTGGACTAGCTGGGCACCCCAGCCACCTCCATGGATCGCACCCCGAGCTCTGTGACTGCAAGAAGTTAAAGACACCTTGAGTTGTCATGAGATGCTCCACAGTGACTTCCTCGCTTCAGCCTTCCAAGCGGTGCATTGTCCAAGTTCTGCAGGGCACGTCGGATTATAGACCTTCCCTCTCTGTCAGAAACAAGTCGAAAGACCCTACCGAAGTGTCCAAGGGAACCACCTTCAGCAAGACAGTAGTTGATGAGTCTGAGTTTTTTCCATGTCCTTCTTCCAACCCATCCGATCGAAAAGGATCTGCTTGCGGAGTTGCTGATCCGCCGTTGTAGCCTGTAGCAGTTGCTGCGCAGCAGCCGAAAGGGACCGCTCCTCGTCTCCTTCTGTCCGTCGTTCATCGATCGTCCGGATCATCACGATGACCGTCTTCGTGATGAGAAACACAAAGGAACGTACCGATCAGTAGCGTTTGACCGATCGCCAGTGATCGCATCTTCCCAGAGTCTGTAGGTTCCCTTGTCAGACATCAGAGACATGACAAGTTGGTATGACAAGAAACCTCTTGATCAGGAGGCATGTTAGTCTTAGTTCTGTGAGTTTTCTCAACCAAACACTCCATGTGTGGCATGGTCTGCGGCATGGTTGCCAACATTGACCCCGTGTCCAATGCCCCAACTGATGGGTGTATGCACCATACGTGGAGCGTCCGAGTCTGGGTTTCTGAACCCGGTTGACGGCCGAAACTCGCCGTTCACTTGACCCGGCCCTTGGGCATGAATCACCAGCCGCGGGGCCCAAGTCTTGAATCCACTGGAGGCATTCCAAAGACCTGGGTCTCGAGCTGCCAAGGGTCCAAGAAGCCTCAAGGTGATCTACATTTGGAATATCCAAAAGGAATTTATTCATTCTCTCATCAACGTCGACTCCTAAGTGAATGGGTAAAACAACAACATGACATGAGAGGACCTCGGCCGAGTTTCTTCGAAACACCCCCGGTACCTGTATTCCATGCGGGACAAGATATAAAGTCTCTTTGCCAAACATGTGTGATTTCTTTTGGAAAGGCAACTGTCTGGGTTACTAACTAGTGGATGATGACTCGATGATGGTAAATAAAAACCGTTTCCCGAAATCGTGATCATCCTTTGAAACAGTTCGTTTACTGGATTACATCATGTTCATCCATATACCCTAGGCCCTAGCCGCCTTCAAAAACCTGTTTAACCGTGGTTGACCTGGCTTTGTAGCGTTTAATCCTGGTTTGAATGCTAGGGGGTATACTGGTTACTGAGACATATCCGTCGATAATGCAGGTATATCCTCAAAATAGTAAGGCCAGGAGCCCCTAGTAGCTTCTTGCTCCTAGTATTAAGGCACTTGTCTCTAATAGCTTCTTGTTACTACTAGTAAGGCACTTGTTACTAGTAGCGATGCAATTGTTACTAGTCGTCCAAAAACAACATCCTTTCAGACCTCCCAAGCCCGGTCTCATGGTCAGACGACGACCCCGCGAAAGCGGGGGAGCGCGCTGCCTGGACACTGCCTGGTGTGCTGCTGAAGTGGACTCGCTGAAGTGGACTGCTGGTGTGTCAGAAAGGAACGTTTGGAACTGGACTGGTTTTTGGTCATTTTTAGTGTGGAGTTACATTGTGTCAAGCTGTGGCAGAGCAGATTGCCGTTGCAAAAAACAGCTCTATGGCTCTAGAGACTTGCCTTTCAAAAAGAACCCATTTATTGTCGTCAGAAAGCACCGTTGGGTGACCTTCTCAGCTTCCACGACCCAAGCGGCTGGGCCCAGGCGCGTCCGCGGCCGCAAGCCGTGACCAAAGCGCCCATGAGGATCACGTCGACGAGATGCGGTGGATGGGCGACGAGCTGCAGGGCCTATCGCTGGTCCATCGCTGGGGGTGAAAGGAACACGTCGCTGAGCTATGCAGCTATGCAGCTATGCTTTCCACTTTTGGTCCATAGACGTTGAGTTTGACTCGGGTCATTGAATTAGAGTGGTTTGAAGACCCAGGGTGGTTGAGATTGGAAACAGTGGATGATGATGGTTAGGTATATATGTTAGGTAACGGAAATTCTGCAAATAAATAGATCCTGGGAACATCGTGATATAGGTGATTCCATACATCGCGCTCAACAGGTATTCCATAAATCGTTCCCGTTCTTTGGTTCACTCGATGGCGTGATGACGACCATCCCTCCGTTCATCCTGTTCAACATAAGATGACCTGGTCAGGTGGCCCAAAGTGCTCCTGACACTCCGTCTGCCATTCCCCCAGCCGGCGCGGTTGATCTTTGGATGATGAACGGCATTATGGCATGGTCCACATGGTCCGCATGGTTAATAGTGGTAAGCCGGTGGCGGTATAATCCATTGCCCAATATTGTGTACTTAAGATGCATCCCGAATGCCACAGTTGACTCACTCACTGACCTTTTGCCAATCCCGTCTCCAAGTCCCACTCAAAAAGGTATTTGGAACCCTCCAAAGGCACACCCCAAAGACCTTTTCAGAGATTACCACTGGAGTCACTGGAGCCCCCAGGCCAGCAAAAAGGCCAGCTGCATCCGACTCACTCCTGTCGGGGGGGGGGCACCGACTCACCCCGTGGGGTGTTTCCCATGGCAAAACACCCGATGGACCGAACCAACTCGACCGACCCAACCGGCTCGATCCCGACTCGATCGATGTGGCCTGGGGCCATAAGGAGCACTTGCCCAGCGCAGTGACCAGGACGGTGCGATCCCGGCAATCGCACACCAAGTCTTTCCTGAGAAAGGGGAGTCTCATCAGCCATCGCGCAACCGTAGGTTGAAGGGCCATCGCTAGTAACAAGAAGCTATAGCCTATAGCAGTTCTTGGGATTACTACTAGTGTAGCTAGAAGCTACGAACGGTTCGAGGCCATCGCTTGAGCAGAGCAGTCCACCGTCGAGTTTTCCGCCGCGCAAGCCGTGCACAAACCATCCGGACCGGTTTCTCCAAAGCGTGAGGGGCTGGGTTCGGGACCAGGGATTTCTCCGGATTCTGTCCACAGAACTTCGTGTGGAGTGTCTGGGAGGAAGGCAGGAGCGGCTAACAGCGGCTAACAGGGGGTCCCCTGTCCAGACTACTCAGCCCCACGAGCTGCAAGGACAGAGCTGAAAGGATGGCCGCCAACGGACCACATGGGAACCGGGAAGACGCATGGACCGATGCTTTCGATCACTTTCCTCTACAATCCCAGGGGGTTTTGGGGGTTCCATGCAGTCCTCCGCAGCGGAGTAGCGAGTTTCTTGGGGATGTCAAGGCTGCTTCACTGGGGGAAAGGAACTGCAATCCCGCTGAAAGCTCTTTGCGAGACAGCAATAGCATCAAACATTCAAGAAACACACATATATACACAACCTACCTCGCGGTGACTGAATAATTGAGCTTGTTTTTTTGAGCTTCAAGCTCGGTCTAGCCGGTAGCGTGTCTGCATAATTGACACATATTGAAACAAAACTCAAACATTCTGTAATGTAGACTCTTGATTAATTGACCCCGATATGAAGAGCTGCTTCAATTCAAATGTGGTGTGTGTATTGATCAAGAGTCTACATTAATCTTTGAACAATATCTTGGCTTAGCTACTCGAAATCTTAGCTAATTTCAAGGAACCAAGGGCATCGCTACTAGTAACAAGTGCATTGCTCCTAGTAGCTAGAAGCTACTATAGTAACAAGCAGCTACTAGTAGCAAAGGGCATCGCGGCATCCCTACGAACAAAGCAAGGACGCTACTAGGGACGCTACTAGGGCCATACTAGTAACAAGAAGCTGCTAGTAACAAGTGCATCGCACAGAAGTAGCTAGAAGCTACCAGGAGTCACGTTCGACGGGGGTGCTTTTTAGTCCCCAAGTGAGTGGATGGGCACCCCGAGCTTCCTCCGTTCGTTCACCCCGAGCTCTGTCGACCTCCCTCCGTCGCCTCCGTCCGTCCACACCGCGCCTCGAGAGCGTGGCGACGAGCTGCTGCACGACGTGCCGTTCCTTCGCTCGGGTGAGCTGCGAGTACAAGCTCCTTGGGGGCGGCTCAGCCGAGTGACTCAGTGGGAGGGGGTTCGGTGGGCAGCCGAGTGGCTCGGTGCTCCGTGTTGGCCGAGGGGTGCTTTTGTTTGACATTTTTGGTTTGTTGGAGCAGGGAAACCAACCCGAGAGTGTATAGACTCTTGATTCAGCCATTTAAACCCCGCCCTCCACTCCCCATGGACTAGAAACACCTCTTCAGGCCCTTTTGGATGGAGGTCTTTTGGACTCCAACTTGACCGGGTTTCCCGGATCGGCTCACCACCGTGGTCTTCACTCGGTTCACCGGAGACGACGGGTTCGACCGACGGAACCGTCTGGTGGATGGGTCCAAATGGCGCGGAGCGACGGAACTTCGTTTTGTTTGCTTTTCAATTCATGTTCACCATGTGATTCTCCAACCTTGAAGGGGATTGATCATGGAGAACACCGGTGGAACCGCCGGACACTTGTCTCAAAGCCTTCACATGAATCCAGGCCATGTCTCCGTCAGGACGTGTCCTGCGTTGCATGTGTTAGTCTCGACGACTCCTGCGGTCGCCAATACGTCGCCTTTTTGATATTTTTTGTGCAGTTCAAATGGGATTTCCTCTCCTCATATGTACAGTGGATCTACAGAATGAAAGGTACCGCAGCTATCGCAGACCTCGAAGAAGCTTCCCGAACGAACACGGCGCCGAACAGCAGCATGATTTCCCTGAAATCATAGCTTCCAGGTGCCACTGAATTCGTGTTGCACCAAGGATTGCGCTGGATCGGATGCGGCTCCATATCCCCTGGTGCTGACCCTGCCAGAGGCCAAGAGGTAAAGCTTCCAGCTTCCAACCTTGAACATTTGCTTATGATTTGCTGATATAAGTCACCGGAACAACACATCTTCAAGAACCAGGGGATTCACCCAGTGATTTCAAGTCACAAGGCCAAAAAAAAGACTGAACAAAAAAACAGGCAGGCCAGGCAACGGAATAAGCTCTTTCACTGGGGAAACTCAAAGATCTTCGTTCCTCCGATGCATTCACTCGGTCTGACACCTCCATCTGCACACCGTCCGCTTCCGCTTGAGCCAGAAACTCGTGCACCGCATCGCTAAAGGTCGCTGGACCGGTGAGTTCCACGGTGTCCTGAATTTTCCATAAGAATTTCTCCTTCAGGATCTCCAAGGAACCTGATTTCGACCAACTCACAACCGGACAAAGAAAACACATGCATTATGTGTCATGATGTTTGATTATTGTTAGATCCACAGAAGTCACCCCAGAAGAAAAGACATCCAGGCACACTCCACATGAGTGCCCAAACCACAATACCAAGCAACGCAACAGCACGGGATTGCCGGGCGCCGAGGCCAAGAACCACTGCTCCAGTTGCTCCACGCGCGCGAAGCGCACGCCGCGGCGCTCGGGTTCGGTGAGCCGATGCCCGGCTTCGTAGCCGACGAGGAAGTTCACGTCCTTGGGGATGATGCTTTCCTTGGAGGGTGGCAAGGGGAAGGGAACTGGGACCGTGGACGGAGAAAGCAAAACGAACATCCGGTCGAACAATTCATGTGAGAATTGATGAGAAGCACGGAACGAAGGCAAGTCGAAGAAGGGGGGTCAAGAAGACCGAGGAAAAACAGAAAAACAACAAGCCAAAGCATCCGAGTTCATGGGCAACCACCACCGAGTTCGCGTTTTCTTTGTAGACACCCCTAAGGCCCTAGTCGTACAATGTGTTTTCCTTCCAAGGGTGGTGTTGGTATGTTATATGTATAATGTGGGAGTCTCTAGGTGACCCGAGTCTTGGAATGTCCTCTACTTCGATGGGGCCAAATATGATAATCGTTGGACAAACATGTTACCAAAGCTTCCCCAAGTTAAATTTCGCCCACAAAACAATAACATACAATAACCAAAAACAATGTCCAAACGATAAAAAGAACCAGGCATCATAGGTGCTGATGGGTTGTGAACATGTCACATCCAAATCGGCGTAGTAACCTCCCTGGTCCCATAGGACCAAATACCGAAAGACATCGGCACGCTCCACGGGTGTCAGAGCCTCCCAAATGGGCCACATCAAATCGGGCGATTTGCTCTTACAAAGCTCGGCGATCTCGGTATCCTCACGTGAAGCTCAAGTGAGTGAGGAGTCTGCTAGACAGTGTGAAGCTCGTTTGGAGAGGTTGCAATTTGGTCGTTCGGGAGAGACCGTTTGCACAACAAACCAACATAACATCACATTTGAACCATTATTTCTCGATGAGAATAACATAGAACAAACAATGTGATCATAAATCAAGAGCTCAGCATCATTCCAGAGCTTGTGCTGACATTCTGGGTTCTTGGAAGTCCAAGACTTCACAAAGTCTTCCTGATTGGAATCCAGCGTGTGTGTCTTCCAGGTTTGATGAATGACACATGGGATCTGCTCAAGTCCCACATGGCGTCTCACTTCCAACTGCAAGAGAGACAGCCCTTGGCACACAGAAGGCTCATGAGCTGTAGCCAGAATGGGGAAAACGGCCACACCAAAGACGCGGCAAAAGGCTAGTAAAGTCATGGATCACATGTGAAGGCTCCAAATGGGGGAGCCTAGTGCCTCCAAGTTACGCTATCAGAGCCACAAATGGCTGAGATACCGAAGAAAGTTGACACTAATAGTACCTCGCCTCCTCCATGACCTTCCACGCCTCCTCCATGTCGATCCCGGCCCACACACGACCTGGGACCTGGGACTGCCAGGACGGACTGCCGCCCCAGAAAGACCCCGACTTCAACCACCCCTGGCCGGAACTCTCGGCAGTCCGGACTGGCAGTCTCAGACAGGTCGTGTCTGGGTATGACTTAACTGGGTTCGGTTCTGGTCTTCTCGGTGGAAACGGGTGGGCACGGCTCACCGAAGAGCCGGGCCGGCAAACCGAGTCCTTCAAGCCGGACACCTCCAGACACGACTAATCCATGGGACTGGTATATATTATTGCCTATACACTGACCCCCTATACAGTGACCCCCAATTGGTATATGGTATATATCAGATGAAAATGGATGGAGGCCATTGCTATTGGAGGCCATCGCTCTTAGGTTTACATCTCTTTTCTCTCTTCGCTCTGTGCCAGTCCCCTACAGCGTGTCGTTCTGGGATTGGTGACTCCTCCGAGGCCTTTGTCGGGGCGAGGTCATGGAGTCCTTGACGAGGCCTATGGGTACGCATGTGCTGGTGCTCACGTGCTCGACGCGGATACGTTGGGGGGAGAGGCGAGGGATCCAGGCAACATGGCTCCTGAGCGGAGCCTTGAGTCTGATTCAGAGTGTTTCTTTCTTTTCTCTAGGGATCTAGTCGCACCTTCTCAGGTTAGGTGGTTGGAGTGATGTGTTCGACACTGTTATGTAGGTTTGGAGGGAACAATCACCTTCTGAGAAGGTACTTGGATCCCTATAGGGTTTAATATGGAACAGTATACGAAGAAATCATCTCTGGTGGGTGGCTTCAACTCGCGGGCGAGTCAGTGACGTGACTGGTGACTGAGTCAGTTCATTATCAATCATCTCAAGTCGAGGACAACAAGACAAATAATCTCATCTGAAACCCCAACAGAGGTTGAAGGACCTGAACTAGGACCCGTCACCTGGGGGACCCATAGGATTGCCTATAGGCTTCTTCAACCTCTGTTGGCCACCACCCAGATCTGCTTCGCTGCAATCCCATCCAATCAGCACAGCCGGGCATCTGCTTGAGGTTCGCCATAGGAAGACATGTTGTCGCTCATGAGGAGGGGCGGGACCTCAAGTGACGGCAGGCTACTGCTACTGCTACAGTGGTTTCAGAGTAAATGGCACAACCCCCAAGACGTCTTTTATGTTTTGGGCTCCATTTGAACCACCAAGACGTCTTGGGGATTGTGCCATCTACTCTGAAACCACCTGCTGGCTATGCCAAATCGACACAACACGAGTCAGGTGGGCGGATTTCGGCCAAAAAACACCTCGATGTGTCTCCCATCCTCCTCGATGGCCCTAGCAGGGTAAACCCCAGCTTGACCAGCCAGAATGGACATGAATAGACTACCTGACATGGTCAACCTGGTGAGTGAAACGGGCTCCTGGTGCCATGATGCCATGAGCCCCCAAACGTTCCATGCATGGAATATATGCCACCCCATTGCACCCCGACTTCAACCATCCCCAATTGACCTATAGGCAAATATATGTCATACATGGAGTATCTAAGGAGTGTTTGGGTGGTCACCACGTGAAGATGCTCAACCTTCCCCGGGTCTTGTTCCATCGCCCGAGTTGGCTCGGCTTTTCCTTCCAACCGTCCCATCGAGCCTGATGGGAGATCGCTCCCCCGTTCAAACACTCCCTGAAACAATGAAGTCGAACATGGGAGATGACCATCACCCTCTACAAACAGGTGGTGAACTCCACTTCCATGAAGATTTCATGGAGTATAGCAGGTAGGTCTTCAGCTGCTCCCTTTAGATCCTTTAGAGATGGCCTCCAACCTATGGGGACCCCTATAAAAGCGATGGCCTCCAACCGAAGAGCGACGGCCTGACGAATATCGTAGCGATGCTTGTACACATCCGACTCTTGATCGGCTCAAAACAACTCTTGATCAACTTGAATCAGCGAACCTAGAAAATCCCAGATTTCAATCTTGCACTCTAGGATCAAGTTGACGACAAGTCTATACGGTTTCATCATGATGTTTTTTTTGCTTGCCTCTCACTTCACCCCTTCAGCACATCGTTCAAAAGCCATCTGAACGAGAAGCCGTCCTCCATGCAGCTGATTCCCGTTCAGAACCCTCAAAATCCCCAGTTCCATGGCTCATCCACAATCTCCCGCCAACCCTTCTGGCGCCAGTTTAACCTGCACAGGTGCCCACCCAAGAAAACAAGAAAGCACCACTCCTTTCTTGCTCCACCCACCTCAATGCCACGAAGCAACTGCGCTCACGCCATTCATGGCACACCATGAGGCGACGTTTCAGGCAAGATCCCCGATGAAGCCAATGCAGCAAAGGACAAGATAGGGAGCACTCTGGGATGGACTCTTATACTGGGCAGAGCAGAGCAAAGCAGGTAGCTTCACCTCCTCCCACCCTTTTTCAACGGACTTCTCGAAGCATCCAAACTGGTTGCGGACGTCGGGTTTTCCTCGGCTCTTGGGTGTTTTTTTTTCCATCGTTTGGAAAACCAAAACCCACAGGGCTCGAGGTGACTAGCTTAGCTTAGAAGACTCGAACGCCCCAAGTGCCGAGTGCACGTTTCTCTTTCTCTTCTAGCCATAGCGCTGCGATCGCCCAACTGGCACAGAAGACAACGGAAAAAGAGATCGAAAGCAAGACTGCTTCTCAGGAAGGCCAAACAAAAGGAACACCTGAAAGCAACCAAGACTGGACGCTTGCTAGCAGCACTGAAGTTGTTAGAACAGCACCATACGAAGCCAAGATACAGGTTTCGACTCCTGTTACCTGGAGCGATGTCATGGCGACAAACGAAGCAGAGATGGTCGACCAACGACCAGTGGGCATGGGAACAGCCATGGACAAAGAAGACCAAAGGAAAAGAGACCAGCAAGCCTTTTTTCTACGGCTACGACGGCAAGAAGATCGAGCTAGAAGACCAAGGTGGTGCTGGCTCTTCCTCCTCTTCGCAGCGATCATCGGAGGAAGCACTACGCGAAGAGAACAGGAAGTTGAAAGAGATGATGAAGAAAGCACAAGAGAGTGGAACGATGGGGGTATTGAGTGCTGCGGAAACGCAACAGCTACTCACTGTCGACCCACGCGAAGACCTCAAAGAAAGGCAGAAGCAGCTAAACATCGAAAGGAGGACTTTGAACAAGACGAGCAGGCTGAAAGAAACCATCGAAGAAAAAGAGAAGAAGTTTCAAGGATGGAAAGAGTTCATGGAGAAAGGACTAAGGCAAGAAGAGAAACGCCTTGCGAAAGATCTCCAAGAGTTGAACATGCACCTCAAGGATGCGGAAAAGTCCGAGAAAGAAGACGCCGAGCTCGTGGACGACAAAGACCAAGAAGAAGATCTCCAGCGACAAGAACTGGAAGACATGAAGGAACAGATGAGGGATTTTATGAACTATGCCACTGTCATGGAACAGAGACAAAGGCAACTCACCGAACAGGTGACTATGCTGGTTGGGGCTCTACAGGGTGCCAAATTAGTGGGAGATCCAGGACGAGATTCACCACAACATCCAATAGCTCTGACGCGGCACGACGAGATTGGGCAGAAAAGGGCTTCCGATGGAAAAGGAGACAGGTCTCGATCACCGGCGAAAGCTGCAAAATTGATCCACGACCCCCGGATGACCTTTGCTGCAATGATTCAGAAGGCATTAGAACCTCTGTCCGACCAGTGCCAGACGGTGATTTTGACGCAGCTCGAAGCAAATCGCCAGGAGTATCAGACGCAGGAGAGCGTCCAGAAGTTGATCGAGTCTGTGATCAAGGGAGAAGAGACACAGGCATCCCTCGATGCAGGAATCGGTGCTCATGTACCGGCAGCATTGCTTCCATTCCGGAAGCATCAGACAAGCAGATCCAGAGACAGTCCTTACAGCACACCGGTGGACTCACGGCCCAAAGGGAGCTTCAGTTCCCCGGATTGAGCCAAAAGGATGACACTATGAAGGGATTGTGCGCTCTTTTTCAAAGCAGCACTCCCTGGCAGTCAGCACAGGAGGCACCATTTGAAGTGCCGATATGCAATTCGTTTGAGATAGACACAGAAGCGATAGTAAGGATGGGTCCTGCTATATATTCTGTGGGTATGAGTGTATACATTGTCTGGTGTCAAATCCGAGCTTTCTTTTTTTCGATTTGGAGAGGATCCGAGTCGAATGACCTTTTCCAGAAGATGGTTCGTTGGATGTTCCAGCAATGTGCAATCCTAATATGGGCTAAAGCGATGGCAGAGTATGTCTATAGACTGATGCAAAGCTGGCCTCGGTATTTGTTTGGTAAGCGACAGAGATTGTACCCAGTGCCGACATGTTTGCAATTGCTTGCTCAGCTAAGGCCATTGTTGGTAAGCCTAGTAGTGAATGATGCATTTCTCGAAGCCATTCCAGATGGGGTACAGTGCACGATTGGAATCAAGTTCTTAATGCTTTTGTTCCAGGCGGGTCTCGGCTGTGTCTTTGTTTTGAGTGGGGCATTCCTTTTGAGAATGCGACTGGATGAACATTGTAGGAATGTTGGTTTTTGCCGGACTGTTGTGCGAACAAGGAGGAATAGGAACTTGACAAAGAGACCCAAAATTAACTGGGTTGGGATCTTTTTGTTGACCCAGATTTGCGGGGCGCAAGTTAACCCGTGGATTGCCGAATCTGCTTTAAGATATCTCGACGATGGTCTTGAGCAGCAAGTGGCCAACCAGAGCCTGCGGCAAGAAGAGACTCATGACTCCTTCAGATCTTACGGGAATCATGATGAGATAGGTCATAGAAAGACTGACAAAGAAGATCAGATACAAGGTCAGAATCCGATGCAATTTTGTTCTCAGGACAAGGAAGACATTTGCCTTGTACTTGACGCCACAGTGCCATTTTGTGAGTATTGGAGAGACCAAAACAGTTTTGTATGCCCACATTTTGAAGGTGAAGACACTGAGAAGCTAGTTGAAGACACGGTCGCCTATATGCAAGTTGGACTCCGTTCTGACCCTTTTGGCAGCTATATCCGAGCAATCAATCCGGATATTGATGTGAGAATTACGACATGGCTGCATACGTGGGACAGGCGGAACCAATGGTCTTATCTGCACAGGGTTGTCCATGTTGATGTAACTAGAGATATACGAACCCAAATTTTGAGATTTTGGCAAGACCACCAAGTGCGTAGTTCTGCAATTGTTACTGCTATTCGTCCACTACCGGCTTTTGGGATAGCCCAGCCAATGTTCTTGATTATGCCGGTTTCACCAGAAGAATGGCTGGGTTTCATTGCGACGGTGATCACACCATGGTATGCTTGGACAGGGTCATTGCTGATTGACGATGTCCTCTTTCGACCAGTCTCCGAGCTGTTTCCGCGGGCAGTGCCTCAGAATCTTTGTATCTGGCAGACCGTCTGTGAGGTCAGAATAGGGCAACGAACCTATCAATGGACGGATTTTGTCCCGCTTTTTGAAGGGGCAATGGTGCTTTTTGAAGAACAATGGATAGACGAAGACCTGGGTAGCACTACGTGCTCCAATGACACTGAAGAGAGTGTTAGTACGGAGACAGCAAGCTTAGAGACAGTGACGACAGATGACAACGAAGAGGACGATGCAGCAGGCTTGTGGCAAATTCTGACTGGTCACATTTTTTCGGTAGATGGTGTCAAGGAAGCAAATATACGAGGGGAGGAGTGCAATAAAACTACAGGAGAAAACACTGCAACTCCGGTGATTGTACAGAATGGACGCCATAGACCTGTCAAGGATAACACTGCAACCTTGAACTGCGACAATCTTGGTGAATGTCCTCAAGCCCAAGAGAGGCAAGATCTAGAAGAGGTTGACTACACCAATCTTATGCAGCGGACTGTTGCGACACGGGAAGTGGTCCCTTTCGAGATCGCAGCAGAAAGAGGACTGCCATTCACATGAAAGTCCTAACAATCACGCGAAAGATATTGACGTCAACATGGATGGAGCAAGGTCGTGACATGGGGTTTGATCATTTCAGACAACCTGGCCCAGGAATCTGGGAGAAACAAGTCATGGGATGGAA